CTCAGTTTATCCTAGGGGATCCCAGGCCTGTTGGTGGGCGCAGTCCAAACGTTGAGATCCTTGTAGGACCGCTGAAGAAGCGAGTGTGCTGCCTAACCTGCTGGGAAGCCTCTGGGGATGCTGTACACCCATCAGGTCCGCTTAGCTAATCGGGCAGAGCCGGGAGGATGGGGCCGTACTGCGAGGCTGGGGATCTGCTCAGGAGACTCAGGAAAGCAAATAGGATTTATATGTGCTCTGGGTGTGAAGGAAAAGCTTTGCCACTTTGATAGAAATATTTGTGTAGAGCTGTCCAAAGGGGTTTTCCACTTCATTGGCCTAAGCAGATGAAAGGCAAGCATGCATACGTTCGTGTGTTTATACGTATATATATATATATACGTATATATGTGTGTGTGTGTGTGTGTTTATTAGCATGGGTCAAGACAAAATTGCTTGTTCGATCCAAAATGAAATGTTTTATTTCATTTTAAGGTTGATAAACATTTTTGTTACCATTTTTACATAAGGTGTTCGTACTGTAAGTAGAAATATTATTGAAAAATGAAAAGCCAAAATATTTCCCTTGGAACACATCAGAATAAAATATTTTGCGTGTACTAGAAATATTTCTTTGTTGCTTTGAACCAAAACAGCTCAGATTCGACCTGAATTCACGGCTTACAATCCTCCTAAAATAGCATTTCTTGGCAAAATTAATTTTCCCCTAATTTTTTAGCCAAAGCTTTTATCTGATTGCCTGAACAAAATAGCACGTTTTGCTCTTGTCTCTGTGGTTCGAAATGCTGTGCTAACGGCTCTGTCCTGCTGAGGTTCTCACGTATGTGTTGTTCTACATGTGCTTTGAGGATGGACTGTAAGCTGTGCAAGAAGCTGCAGTTGTGTTCACCGTTCACAAACACTAGTAATCCCAGGATCATTTGCATGGGTGATTTGTAGTCTGGAGTGCATTAGTGTTTTGCTGTGACTGTTCATTATTTGTGCTATGTGACTGGTCACCTAAGACATATGGGGCCAGGTTGGCAGCTGCTGAAAATCAGCGTGGCTCCACTGACGGATGGAGGCAGGCTGGTTTCGGGCTGTGACGGATTGGATCCTGGCACGGAGCGCCTTCCTGCTTGTTTGTCGGGCTTTTGCAACAGGCTCTCAGGTAAGGCAGCTATGCTAGCTTTTCTGATTTATAAGCTTCTGCGCAGGTGAAATTCACCTGTGAAACCAGCTGCCTTCTGATACCCTGCTTACAGAAACATGTGTTGTCGTGTTCAAAAAGACTAGTGCAAGCAGGTGTTCGCAAACACGAGTTATAAAGGCAACCCGTGAATAGTAGAACTGGAAACTTAACTTAGAAACATGTTTTATACTTTTATTTAGGCAACTCCCTAAATGCAAAGACAATAGTTTCTTAAATGGCTGTTTTAGTATTTCAGCTGAGATGCAGCCCATATCTGTAACTCTGCTTCCTGCAAAAACCATCAGTAGTGACAGCAATATTATGTGGGGGTTGACCTAACGCGTAAAACCCGAGTGATACTATAAACCGTGATTTACAGGGCTTGATGTAACACACATCAGTGATGCAGGATAAAGATTTCTAAAAACTGAGCCTGGCAAAGGACCAGGGCCAAACTGCCAGCTTTTAGTGAACTTCACAGAATGGAGACCAGTATGTGCAGCATAAATTCACTGGCAAAGGGGAACTTAACCATTTTTTGCATATTTTCATTCAGAATGGGGTGGACATAAGCAGCAACATGAAGCAAAAATGTCTTGTGGTCCCACCTTCACATGGTTTCGCTCTGGAGACTTTTCAGACTCCTTGCCAAATGCAGGCCCTTGCAAAGTTGTTGGCATGTGAGATGTAAATCACTCATGCAGCATGACATCTACCATCAGAGGTGTTAATGGAGAATTATGTTGCACTGGGTGGCTGGTGAGATAGCAGAATGGCAATTAAATCCTAGAAGTAAGGGAATACTTTTTCCATCCTTTCTTCTGGGTAGCGCTGGCATTACGGCTGCACACCAATACCTGGAGTTCTCAACTCTTGCCTGGTTTGTGCCAATTTCCAGCAGCACCTTTAAAGTTTTTCTGGCCCTAATGAACATAGGACTACCTTTAACCCATGATAGGGAGCATAAATTTAGCAGACTGTGGAAGTGGAAGATTTCTGTTATTACCGATTTTTCCCCTGTCCCTCTCTACTTCTTCCCCTAACATTTGGCAAGGAAATTAGAGCTGATAATGATAGCTGGCATCTACAGGAGGTGAAACTTTGAAGCTTTTAATCCACGGATCTCAAAGTGCTTTCTAAATACTGAATTTCACAGCTGTTTTTGGAGTTAGGTATAAAGCTGGAGTAGAAGGAAGTTCCACAGTTTGCCAAGTGATATGTGGAAAGTCAGTAGCAGAGCTCAAAGTAGAACACAGAAGTCTTTCCTCCAGCCCTTTGTTCCATTTCTAGACAATATATACTGTTCTTTAATCTTAGAAATACATCCCACTTATTTTCAGAACAGTCAGGTGCATAGTCGTGATTAGCTAAAACTCAGTACCATGGTAACTCTTAACAGAAGCAAAGGCAATTGACACATAAAACAGTAGATTTAGGAAGAAATCAGGAAAAAGTCACACTGAATGCCGTTTTGTTTTGTTTTGTTTTGTTTTTGAAGTTTCACATTTCCCAGCCACTAGAAATCTGGGGGTTCAAATGAAAGGAGCAAAGGGAGTACAGATTTTAGAAATGCTACTATTTTTTTTTTGGTCTACCATCTATTGCCTCAAAGTCATCCAAACCTACTAGCCACCTTGCTCTACAAGACTTCCGTGCTTGCAGATGATAAAGAGGTGCAGTTTTGGTATGAGGGCCTGACATCCCAGTTTGTGGTTTGCCACGTGTGCCTAGTGGTCTAGGGCACTCAGAGTTTGTGAAGCCATATAAACATGAAATGGTAAAAAACAAACTTCTCTATAGGCAAAATTTCTTTTATTTTTGTCTGTAAAGTTTGGAGAAGATGTACCAGATTTGTTTTGTTTTGTATTTTCCTTAAAAAGAGAACCAACAGGGCTTGAAAGCAAGTGGATCTGTGGAGCTGTCAGCAGAATCTAAAAAGAAACTCTCTGGGAATCCCATCCACCTCCTCACTTGCAAGCAAAAAGACATGGAAAATAACACATCAAAACTACATTTCTTAAATATTTTATATAAAACGTCCAATGTTCCAGCCTTCACAAGAATGCCAGATAGCTGTACTTCCTTTAGTGTTTTATATATGATACTTCAGAAAAATCTGAAATAAGTTTATGCCTTGGATATGCTACCAATAGCAAACTATGTTGTAATCAACATCATAGGTAGTTCTGTCATATACGCTTTCTTAAAGGCATAGGCAATGTAAAGGCAGAACCCCTCCCTCATGGAGCACCCATTCCTTAGGTTATACAGGACAGGGCGGTTCTTGAGCTTATGTTTGAGCCTATGACATGGTCTACTGGTAAAACTAGAATCGGATCTCAGATGAGTTTGTGATTTACAAGAACTGATTGACCAAATGAGTGTCCTAAACCTTTAGGAGGTACAGTCAGTTAAAAATGAATTTGATACAAGGTTAAAGACATAATAAAAATGCAAATGCAACCTAGGGAGTCTGGCGTCGTGCCTCTGCTATAATCATGAGTCCACAGTGCTTGTACATACAAATGGGGCAAAGTTAAATACGAGTTTGAAGTAAGGGATTTCTTACTCAATAGAAGAACATATAACTCTAGCTTTTAGCCAATTTGGCACTGAAAAGCATGATTAGATCTTTCTGTATTTCTTCATTAACTGCAAGGTTGCATTGTGCAAACACAGTTTGATGTACATATTTGTATGTGACTGGGACACAAAGATCAACTATGTCAAGTTTAAGTAAATACAGGCATGCTAACTCAAACAACAAGCTGTTTGCCCAGCAAAGCAGCATAACTCTTGCAAACCGAAAGTCACTTCCTCATCTTTACTTACAAAACCTTGTTTTCTTGGTGTCTTTCCTTGCTAGGAGTCCTGCAGACTCAGTTTTTTAAAGCGTGCTAAACAATTCTGTATGGATGTAATCAAGTGTATTGTAAGGCATCTGAGGTTTTCTTCCTGTTATAAGGACACCTGCAATGTGGGGCTTTTGAGATCTGGCTGCTTCAGTCAAAAAACAAAGTATTGCATTTTTTATTCACTTGATAGATCAGAAGATGTGCTCTATAGCAAGCCTTGAGCTTCTTATTTCCTCTTTTTGAGTTACTGTAACGCTTCTGAGAGATGCTGGAAAGACAGCAAGGTAGCTCAAAGTCCATTATCCATCACATGTACTTTAGCAAGTAACTTGAGTTAAAGTTGTAATTTGCCTTGCTTATAATATGAATTTAATGTATGTTGGTCAGTGTTTTCACTAACATGATATTAAAATACTGTTCTTTCCTGAACCTGGCCAACCCATAAGGCCTGATTTATAAGGTTCCCTCCCAGTATGCAGAGCAGAGAGGGGAAAGAAGGTGGCAGAGCTGCCTGTAAGCTGCCTTCAGTCGTAACCCCTGTATTCGGGGCCTGGGCAGAGGGACCTGCGTAGTCTTTGGTATGAATTAGAGCAACCCTGCAGGCTGCTGGAGACAAATGCCATGGGACAGTGGCAGTGGAGCTAACTTCGGTGGTAATTTTCCGTGATACTTGTGCTTAGACCGCAGTAGCTACTTGGGGCAAGCAAGAAATGGTAGCAGCTTTCAATCACTGAAGGCTTTGATAAGATCCAAACTAGAGCTGAAAGATGGTGCTGTAACTATTTTAAAAGGTGTAAAGAGTACTTCCTGCTAAACACCATTAATCGTTCCATACTCTCTCACTAAAGCTATATTTATAGTATCTGGCACCATGGGTCATGATCCTGATAGGGCATTTATATGGACAGACATCACAGCTCAACATAGCAAACAAGATAGAAAGTGACTGAACTTGAGTAATATCTTAAAAACAGGTTTTCTACGAAATCAGTTTTTCCTGTCTGGATTGTGGCAAACTGCAGCCAAAGATCATCACCGCTGTCTGGAACTGGTCTGCTGCAGAAGAATCGGAGGTGAGCGTATGCATTACTTTGTGCTGGGTTTGGATGGTTTTCTGCCTTGGCTTCTCTATGTCTTTCTTCAAAGTCTGTCTGTACTTCGCTTTTGAGGGCAGCATGCAGGAGGGGAGCAACCAGGAAGCAGGTTGAAGGATCATTGCCTGCTGAAGCTCTTTTAGCCTTCCAACTAAAACCCCCAGGGAAGCAGGGGGGAGGTGATGGGGGATCAATCACAATAATGGAGAAGCATTCACGGGGGAATTTTTAAAGACAGATCGTTTGGTTAGAGACATTTCCTTCTTTTTCCCTAACATCCAGCTGCTGAACTGAATTCTAAAATGTACCAGGTCAGTGCAAAGCATTACAAACCTACAGCCAAAATGGCCTAAAAAACTCCAGATGTCCCAACAGTCTTTTGCTGTGTTATTTCTCACCCTATCCAGAGCAGGAGTATTTCCCACAAATGAATACGCTAGAATCTAACACACAAACACTTTCAAACCTCCTTATAGGTTGAAGAGTGCAACATCCAAGAGCTTTAAGATGCTATTGCTTCTTTCTGAACAGAAATCAGTCTTTTCCTTGCCTCCCCCTCCAAATGGCAGTAGAATACTTGTTTCTAACCCAGCTTTTCCCATCTTTTACCCATCAGAATTAGAACTAAATGTCAGTGAGAAAATTCACATGGGAAAAATAAGGCCATTTATTAACATCTATATATGGTATGTATATATATTACAGCAGGTAGCTGACCTAAGGACAGTTCATATCCATGAAAGAATAGAGCACCTATGCAACCATAAAAAGAGGTAAAATTTTGTTCTGCTTTCCCCTTTTTGTGCCACTTTGAGGTGCTGGTGTATTTTATGCTTAAGAGTCAGTTTGTCAACTGGCTGGCAATGCTTCAAAAGTGCCTAACTGCCGGACAGCAAAATTGTTGAGGTTTTTCCTCTAATCAAATAGCATGACAGGGAAAAAATGGATGTAATTCTGGGACTGTTGAAGTCAACAGAGCTGCGACAGGAGAGCTGCAGAGCTGCACGGTTTCACCCATAGCTAAAAGCAAGACAAGCAGCGTGCTGTGTTCAGCTTATCTCCCTTTTAAAATTTGCTATTACAGCAGTCCAAAAGTAACATGACAAAATGCAGGTACTGCATCTCGGTGTATTAGCAGAGAATACAGGATTTTTATTTTTTTTTAATAAGAACCACCGCAGATGCACAATGAAGTGTTTAACTACTGTAGTTATCAAGTACCTACACAGTTCATACTTCACATTGGACCAAGAGAGAGGGTGAATTTAAGAGAGAAAGCAGCTCAGTTTGGCTCATACTCTCTGTCATGGGGACGACTTCTGTTTTTTACAACTATGCCAATGGCTTCTCTGTTTGTAAGATCAGACTTTGGGGAAATTCTTGCCTATGATGTCAGAGACCCCACACCCAGGCCTTTTAAATTAAAACTCATCTCCCCAAGCCTTCCTCCCTAAACTTTGAAACCTGCCCTTTAAAAACAGAATCTTTAAATCTCACCGGTGGGCTGGACGAGGCAAGGAGACAAAGAAACACCTCTCCTTTAGAGTAGCATTAGAGGTAATTGGGTGGATGAGAATTATCTTTCAGTTCAGGTTCTTTACTTGATGAGTCTGAATTTAATATGAGCAAACAGCATTTCTGGGTTTGCTGAGACCTGCTAGTATTCTCTTGGTACATGGAAAGGTCAGGATTTTTTTCTTTTCATACATCATTTACAAGTAATTGCAATGACCAAGTTGGTACAACTCCTTAACACAAAGCAGCAAAACGTACCAAGGAGAGAAAAGGATACTTTGTTGCTATTTCTTAATTAACAGTTCTGTGTAGTCAGAGCTCAGCTGTATTCCAGTGGACTCAAAGGGCCAATAGGGAGGAATTTTTTCCCCTCTTCTTGAATTTGTATGTCTAGCTTTTGTGTCAATTATCAGTACCTGTTACCTGTTGAACAATCCTGTGTATTAAGATAGCAAGGCTATTTGATATTTACTTATGAAGAGACCATTTCTAAAGCAGTGATACCGGAAGTTTCAAACCATTTGCTAGAACTTCAAAGAAGACAGTTCTTGAACAAACAGCCATTCAGAATAGCCCTCCTTTCCAGGGAGAGGAGGTCTTCCCTGAGGGGTGAAAATGAGTGAAGCACAGCTTCACACCCTATGTGTGCAGTCTAAGCACCCTAGCTTGCTTTCTTATACTCTCTGCTCACGTGCTAGAGCCACGTTGTCCTCTAGCATTCAACCTGGAAGCACTGTCCTTCCAGAAATGATTTTCAGAAATGCTCAGAGATGATTTTGAGATCAGGTTGAAGGCCTGTTTTGCCACCTATCCTCAGTATATATTTCCTGGAGTGATGGCAGGTCCAGGCAGTTATGGAGTAAAACTTTAGTTGCTCGTTCTACATGAGACTACATTCGTGAGTGCAGTTTCCTACTGCGTGGACAGGCTATCATTCCTGTGCCAGACAGCTTGATTTCACCTTCTGCCTTTGGCTTTCAAGGGCATTATAAGGCAGACAAGATAACCCCACATCTTTCCTGGAAGTGCCCAAAATTTGCTTCATAAACAAATGCTTCATGATCAAGAGAGATCAGTGAGCAGAGCGTTGTCCCCATTGCTGAGGCAATGGGACAGATATGCAGAGTTCGTGCTGGGGACCAGTCATGGAGGGTGACCAAGGAAGAGATAACAGGTATCTCGTAGGGGAGAGAATATATGGAGAATGAAGCAGGCAAAACTATGCCTGCATCAGAGCAGAGAAAGATTTAGAAAAAATCCTTTGTGCTTGTTAAGATTTTTGTAAATCCCAGTCTGCCTGAACATGGGCTCGACCTTCAGAGAGCAAAAGGGCTGGCAAAGGAAGAAGTGGTTAGAAAATTACCTACTTACATTAATTCTCTGGATAGAGAGAAACTTACTTGTAAAGGTTTTTTTTTTTTTTTAAACATCTTATAGGTCCTATCAACTACAGCTCTGTCTGTGAGTCTGTGGAATATGCAAGGCTTTTTTTTTTTTTTTACTCTGTACCTCTCAGGTTTGTTGCCAAGTGCCCAAAAAAGAGCTTAAGAAGCATTTATCTATCTTTCACTGGTATGACTGGGACCCTCTTGCTATTCTGTTGTCCTCCAGATATTCCTGAGTCTTAGAGAAACTGATTCTCTTTTTTCTCTTTTAAGAAAGTGTTTTCCCTTTTTCTTTATGCAGCAGCGTGATGTGGAGCTGTCATCCCTGTGCGATAGATTGCAAAATGGGTTAGTCCTCCCTTTCTTACCTCTGCTCCTGGATATCGCTCTCATTTCACTTACTTAGGCATTGTCACGTAAGTATTAATCAGGATTCTGTGTGAAGAATCAGTTTGGCTCTGGCAGTCAAGTGATGCTAAACTGTGTGTGATGGGTGAATCTAGGGACATACAATTTCTGGTCTGAACGCTGGAAAAACTTAAGTCTATCTGTCTTTAAACCCTAACATTATGCACTACTAATTTTGGAACAAGCTGCTCAGGCAACCTTGTCACTGTAGTTTTCCAGATACTCTGATTTCATCTTGGTTAAAACTTCGTTTCTACAGCCCATCACTTTCAGTCATCAGTATGTGCTGTATCTAAGCTTCCTATGTATCAAAAAGGATATGCACAGAGATAAATAGTCAGGGAAAGATGTGTTCAAGGGGCAGACTTTAAAAGGCATTTAGACGGTAGAGAGGCACACTGATAGAAGAAATGATCAGAGGAGTTACATACTGTTGTGTATTTTGGAATTCCCATTTTCAAATCTGCCCCGAGATCCTTAATTATGGAACAGGTGCACAAGGAAAACCATAACCTATTCCCCTTTGTGCAGCTCTTTCTGGTTGGAAGGATTTATTAAGCCAATGTCAATATTCTTCCCATCAATTTTGGAACGTCTGACTCTTTGTTGAAACAAGCTATTAGCAGCAATAAAAGACACAGGACTAGAATAATTGTCTAGAGTTCTCTTGTGTGAAATATTCGCTATAATGTGAAGAAGCCAGTAAGTAATATTACACTCACGGCTTACTTTGGCTCACAGGTGGCAGCAAAATCAATTAACTACTTCTATCCATAGGAATTTATTGACTTCCACCCATTTTAGAAAGAAATGTGACTTTCAGTTGGTAAAGTTACAAAATGTGTGTCTCATGCTGTGCAGTTTTTGTGACGTGCTGCAGGACATTCCCTTCTGTACCCGTCATCCTAGCTCTGTGCAATTGTGCTTGGTCTGGTGATTATTTCCAAGAAGGCAGAGTCTGCGTCAGTACTGAGACATCTTCCTTACTCAGGTGGGCTGCTAATCTGCATTCACATTTGAAGTTTCTCGACCTACTGGTTGGTAACGCTACTCATCTCTTGCTACTTTTTCACAAAACTCAAGTCAGCAAAAGTTGCACTGACTAGTATGAAACTCATAATACCTTGAACAGTGGGAAAGTGTGTTTTTGCAGATAAGGCAGCCCAAACTACTCATTTAACTCAGTGCGATCCCCACACTATGAATCTGGCACCACACCAGGGAAAGATATGGGAGAAAGAAGCCAACCTATTATAGCAGGTAGATCAGTACATATAAGTGTAGGCAATCATTTAATGGGAGCCTAGCTAAATAAGCTGCCCCTCACCTTTTGTTCTTTTATAGATGTTTGTGTTACTAATTATGCTGTGGGTTTAGGTCTGCAAAGTAATGAGGCTGTTCTACCTGCTGATGTCAAAATATCTGACTGTTTGCTGATACTTTAAAAAAGCAGGTAGGAGAGAACTGGCTGCCAAGAATGGACTGAGAGGGTTGGTTGCAAAAGTTTACTCCAGTGAGTGCCGGAGAGGTTGGACTGCCCTACAGATTTGGAAAGAAATGTTGATTTTTGGAGATGTTGCTGATAGGAATGTTCTCCTGAGTAGTCTTAGCATATGAGTGTGTGTTCCTCACTCCAGATGTTGCATGCACTAAGCCTACATCTGGGTTTTCATCAAGGAGCAGACTGTGTGCATCTCTCTTGTATATTTTAATTAAAATAACTTGCATACGCATGTCAGTGTTCCCACTGAGTCTGAGGGTGTTTAGCTAACTGGTTTTCATTTTGTTGAGTGTACATTGGGACCAGTTTGTGTTTCTAAGCTTTTGTGGATGACAAAGTTTTAATTGAATATGTAATGAGCGTTGTATTTTGGTAACACAGCTCTTTGCTAACTACTAAATCCGATCAGGAACTTCTGTATCAAACTATCTGAAATGAATGGGCCATTAGCAAAGAAACAAGTTATTAAAGCGCTGTGTAATAAAAAGGATTAAACATCCTCGTATGAGAAGGATTTTAGCAATGGGATAATATGGCCTGTATCAGCTGCTAAGAAGCAGATATAATATCATAGCAAAAATAGGAGTGATACAATAAAAAGGTGAATATTCAGTGAATTAAGGTGTTAAAAGGAAGTAACGAGAGAGTAGAAATCAGTATAGTAATGTAGATAGGTTAGTGTGGGCGCAAGCAATAGCTGATGTAGCTTTTCATCAATAGATCACCTGGTTCAAATCCAGATTATAAGGCAAATTCTACCTTGACATAAATCACGTATTTAACCCCATTGACCTCAATTAGTAGAATCTGGCCCTGCCTCAATGATGATTTAAATTCATTACTCCACATGAGTGAAAAATTGAGAATGAATACATTGCTCTTCAAATGTTACATATTTTTATTTTCAAAAGCAGACTACAAAATTCTTACGTATTTTTAATAGTCCTCTATATCCAAAGATACAGATAGGATGGAAGGGAAAATTGTTCATTGTTAGCTGTTACGATCTGATACCTGCTTCGTGACTCATATGAAGTGAATACGAGCCTACTGGATTGCTGTACGGACTGGAGACTTGCCTAGACTTTTTCACAGTTATTGCTGCTTTGAGCAACTTAAGAGAGACATTGTCTGCATCAGGAATCTCTAAAGCAATTTACCCAAAAATTCTTCTGGCTGTCATCAGGCAGATTTTGGGTTGTGCCTAGAAATAGACCAAAATTAATATTGGTTTTATTACTGAGCTCCTGATTCAGACTAAAATGAAGTGGTTAGAAGGACGTATGTGATTGAAGAGCTCTTCTGAATAGCGTGTATTTAAACCCAAGACTGAATTTCAGGATCTAAGAGGGAAGAACAAAGAACAGGAGAGGCTGAAGAGGAGTGAAACGGATTATATCCACAAGACCCGTATAAATAGCTTAGATTGCACTGTAGTGTTAGTCTGTTGGCCTTGGCCAGCTATTTAACACATTGGAACTGAGATACCTTCTCATCCCTTATAAAGATAAATCTCCACAAAATTAAGACCTGTGAAGAAAATGATTGCACTGTTGATAGTATGTTAGACAATTACAAATGATAGGTTGAATTCAGTTTAACCTCAAAATAACTTAAAAACCTGATCTAGTCACTGCATTTTTCCCAAATAATGCATTCTTTTAGCTCTTTAAAATGAGCTGCAGCAAAGCTGCTACACAAGCAGGAGTCAGGAAAGAGACCGTACTCAATATTTCAGTCAGCCACCTGTGGGTGACTGAGACTTGCTAGTTAGGGCTTCCCTTGGGTAAATAAAAAGCTACTCGTTTCTTTCTTTGAAGGAAAAGCTGTAAGGAAGTTTTCTTCTTTGGGAATTTCTTTGCTTAAGCAATAGCGTTCTTCAGAAAAAAGGAAACATTCAGTGAATTCTAGTCCTAGCTTTCAAGAACCCCAAACCCAACATTTTGACTGCTAAAGGGAATACTAGATGCTTATATATCAGGTCCAAGCTGGTTTTAAGTGAGTGCAGCTCCATCAATTATCATGGGGTATGCTGAGTAAGATACATCACAGGGTAATCACACCCACACTTTTGTAGGGAAGGAAGATTGGTTTGGGTATTTTTATCCTTTAGTTGTTCAGGAATTCTTATCTGAAGAAAACGAGAAGCTGTAGTTTCTTGGCATTGACACCGCTATGACCTCATTGATTTGAAGGAAGGTTGCTATGGTGTAACTGCAGAATCTGTTCAGTGATGTGTACAGTGTCACCATTAAGAGCCCATCATCTGCCAAATACCGCACAGTGATAACTGGGAGCCTGCATTTTCCCTTCTGCCTCCCACCTTCACGTAATGCCATATGGTAACTGTTGCAATTGCTGACCTTTAGTGGCTATGAGTGTGTCTTCAGACTACCCTCTTTTATTTGTTAAATCACTCTTTTTCTCAGCTTCAGGCCTTGGTTGCACACCAGACTAAGCAGGATCATTTACTACTGTAGATTTCTTCCTAGAAGAGTTGACTGGCTTGTCCTTTGAAATCTGCTACAAAAATAATTACAGGCAAGCTGCAGTTTTCTCTCCTACGGAAACAAGGCCTCTCCCAGGCCCCCGTTGTGCCAAAACTTGGGGTCAGAGCTGCCTGCAGGCAAGAGCAGGGAACGTAGCCTGCTGCCTGCGGCTGGGATCCTGCAGGACACAGGTTGATGCCTGTGCCCATGCAACAATCCCATGTCAGGAAGAGTATCTCGGCACCTGAAGACTGGTCTTGTTACCAGCAGTTTGTATTAGGCTTTTTGCATAGAGCAGTGAGTGTGGCTCAGACCTATAACTAAAGGGACTTGGGAGCAAGCATGTGCTGTGGGCAGGATTACTCGTGCTGTGCCTATGCCCCAGGGACGGGGCGATACAAATGCCAAACTAACATCAAAGATGTGAGCATGCTACGAGGCAGAAGGTGATTCAGCTAGCCACAATAAAACAGCTTTATGTAGAATACGTCAGCCTTGGGATGTGGAGAAAAATGTGTCACAATGATATAAAGCCACATATGCGATGGCACTTTACCAGGGAAGTCCAAAGCAGCACGTTCGATGACTGCTTGGGGTCTAGCGGGGAGATTTGTACATCACTATCCCCAGGCAGGAGAAGAGTTCAACCTGCTCTTAGTTTGGAGGAGAAGAGACAGTCATGTGCTGAGCAAGGATGGATCATTAGGAGGGGAGTGGAAGGCAGGAGGAGGGGGGAGGTTTGATTGCTTCACTAATGAGGAAAAGAGAGAAGTCTGTAAAGTGAAGGGGTAAAAGTCTGTGTGCTGTAATACAGGTAACAGATGCTGGAAATTTTCCAGCTACCATTTTCCCTCCTGGTGTGAATTTTGTCTTTATCACGTTATTTAAATGCCAGTAAAACTTATAAGCATAGCCTCAGTTTCTCCAGGCCATGTGGTATCTAAAGCTTTCCTTGCAGTTTTCTCTTGTCTTCTCTGTAACTCAAAGTAGAGATGGTATCCTTTGTATCCTGGATTAGAGTTATTAAGATCAACCTGAACTGGTGTATCAGCAATGACAAAGTCTCAACTCCCTGGGTTTGAGGTTGTCCAATCTCTGAATTCCTTCAGGGATCTAAACAGCACAATATTGCTCATACATACCATGCAGAAGAGCATTCCTCCTGAATGTCATGTGGGGTTTCCACTTTTTTCCAGTGGCACGCCTCTACTATATTTAACCTTTTGTTATTTTTCTTTTGTACTAAAAACACGAAACAGGTAGAATAATATGAGCAAAAGTAATTGTCTAGTCATTTTACTGCATCATATGCAACAGCCAGCGGATAAATTCTAAGGTGCAGAACAAAGAGACAGAAGAGGAGAGAGAGATCGTTTCTGAGACTCTGATTTCTCCAATGATCTGTCAACATTTTTTTTTTCCCTAAAGGAAATTTGACATCAGTGCCTGTCATGTCCACTAGGTTTTGCCATTGAATAGGCAGTACTGATCCTTTGATCTGAAATTAAATAGATATATGAGCTTTTAGTTTTAACACAGCCAGGTTTTTCTGTGGTAAAGAAATCTTGTTTTCTCTATTCCTGATCTCTGACAGTTGGTTGGCAGAGAGGGGAGGAATAATAAGTTTTAATTATATCTCCCCAAACAAGCAGATTTGAAAGCAATGCAGGGATTACATGAGAATAAAATCCCTTCAAGCATTAACTGTCGCTGGTAAAAGGATGTTAGATATAATCCTATAAGGTTAGATGTCCAGACGTCCTGGTTGAACCAGGACAGTCTAATTTTTAATTTAACGTTCTGTCATCCTGATTATTTTCTTTGGGAGGCTCATGTGTCATGTTTGCCTTTGTGCCATACTCGAGAGTGGCACAATCGTGAAAATAACACTTTAAGTCATCATGCAGCTTTTCTCCTCCAATTTCATCAACCAGCATCACATGTCAAAATGCATTGAACATCACAAGCCAGGAGAATAGGAATTGTATTATCTTCTGCATTAAAAAGGAATAGATAAGCAAGAGAACAAAGGGAGAGTAATAAAGAGGAGTGAGGAAAATAACTCCAGATCTATACATGCCTTTTTTTCTTTATGAGGAAAGATGCCCGTGACAATACACAATATACTTGTCACTTGCTTGTTATGTAGAGCTTGAACCAAACCAGTCCCAAAAAGCTTCAGGTGCTGTCCCCTTCAGGCACTTCTTGGTTGGCAGGAAACTAGTAAGCAAATGCCAGCTGAATAGTTAAGAAAATGAAATGATTTTTTTTTTATTCCACCCATGAGCTTTCAAACTCCCTCAGACAACAGATGGGTGATCCAAATTGGGTCTAATAAAACAGGGACAGATATTTTTTCTGAGGCTAGAAGAAGTTTGGTCAGACTTAGCAGTGTTTATTGTGCTCCTGCAATTTTTGCTTTTCGCCTGGAAGCAGAAAAATATGCTGAAATAAAGTCTAGTTTCCTGCTGAAACCAGGAGGGTATTGTGAATCACAGGAGAGAACTGGATCCTTTGTGATTTCTGGGCAGAACAGGTTCGGAGAGGCATCCAAACTCCTCAAGGATTTTCTGATCGTCCAACCTTGAGGCTTTCCTTCTCTCAATTCTCTGTGCTTCCTCAGAGTCTTATTGCGAGAGTCACTGAGTGGTGCCTTTGCCCAGTTTTGCTGTTAGGTAAGAGCATCCGTTGGCTTTGAGAAGGTGCTAGTGCTTTGTAGGATGAGATCTTACAAATACCATGGTCAAGAGGTAATGCACAAGGTTTTAGTAAGCAGCTGACCTAACCAACTAGTTGTTCACTTTTCAAGCCTGATTCTTTTATGAAGCATTTAAGTCTCATGAATGTTTTGCTCTTACACCCACTTGTTCATCATCGCTCCACTTAAGTCAGGACTCACGTCTGTGATTCATTTAGAATTTCCCAAGTGCTCCGAGGCTGTGCACGCAGAACCAGAATCTCAGCCTTCCTTGGGGAGTTCTTGAAGGTCTAAGTACAGTACAACTTACTTTCCCCTTAGGGTAGACAGTAGTAACTTTAAAAGACGTCTCTTTGGATGAGTAGGACATGTCATCCTTAGACTTGGGCCAGGCACTGTGCACCAAGGTCTGTCAGTTGTTACATCTAGGCAGCCCTACAAATATGCAAGCGCAGGGTAATGTGCTGAAGTACAGTGAAGCATGTTAGTCATCCTGAGGGAGGGTCCTCTGGGAGCTCTCTCTGTGAAAAAAAATACTGCTGTAAGAATTAAAGAGGAGGTGTGAACAAAGCATTACCGCTCTGAGGAACAAAAAAAGCCCCTTCTTAAGTAAGGAATATTCCTGACCTGCTCCTAACAAGTCAGCAGTCAGTGACACTTGGAAATCCTTGATCCTCAAGTATTCATCCCTCTTGGGTTAAAGGTACAGTAGGGAGAAGGCTGTGTTAATAAAGCAGTGGAGATGTGCTCTCTCTTCATATATTTGTGAAATTTCAGCTGGTGCTAACTGGAGTCTTGTGTTCTCTCAGCGCTGCTGGTATATCCGAAGCAAGCCAGTGCAGGAAGAAATGGAAGGAGCTCTCTCCAACACAGCACAGCCACCTGGAAGCAGTTAATGCTGTGGAAGAAATGGAGAAGCCAGTTGCTTGCAGCAGAAGGACAACAGCAGGAACCCTAGATGTACAGGGGTGGGACAGGATGGAAGGATGGCAGGCCCTTTCCATCGCTCTGCATGTTCTTGCAAATGCAACGGTAAAATGTCCAGGCTGGTGCCACTGTTCATTGCCCATCTCCAGACAGGCCCTTAAGTGGATAAACGATACCGAGGTCTCTTACTCTCTGTTTTTCTCTCCTTTTTCCACATTTTGGCAGATTCCTGGTGGTTGGGTTTTGCTGTCATTTTTTATCACTTTTGTTTTACATCAAAGAGTGGAAGAAGAAAGCTTTCTGTTCTGTCTGAGCAGATGAGCTCATGGGTAAATGAGCAAAACCAGACCATTGAAATCTCAGCATTATGCAGTTTGATGGTAGCCAAAAGGACAAGGGAGAATCTTCCGACTGGGCAGGACACCCTCCACTACCCACTACTAATCTTGTCATTCCAGAATGTAACTCTAGACGCTTTGGACTAGATTGGGATTTGAGATACACCTATTTCAATGTCATCAGTCTTTTCGTCTGTTTCTGTTTTAATTAATGTTTTGTGGGCTGTATTTCTGCAGCTGGATAGTAGGCTGCTTTGGATCCAATTTATTTCCGTGGATCAGGCAATTTAGTTTGCTTTGAAGTTTTCATTGTGATTTATATTTGGATGTGCCTCTATATAACTGAGAATTAAAAATGAGTATTTATGCCTTTTTATTGTCATTATGTCTTTGTGATTAAACGGTTGTCCATAATAATGGATAGTCACCCAGGAGGTCCTTTCCAGGCCAGCATTCATCCAGCGAAGGTAGCAGGATGCTCTGCCATGCAGTGTGGCATGGATACAGAGCTCACAGGGCAGTGGCGCACAGATAGAGAGAACAGATTTAAAGACAACTTAAAGCGAGATTCCTTATCAATCGCAAAGGGTGCTCAGTGCAGTGTTGTCAGCCCCACTGCTATCGCACTGCTGGCTCCACACCGGTTTCAAAACAGAGGCTTCTGCTGCCTTCCGCAGCTCCAGCACTGAGGCAGAGTCCGAGGCAGAGTCAGTGAGGCGGAGTGAGTTCTGTGAACCTTTAACTATGATGGTGTTGTGCAGAAAACTAAATACTTGTATCTCCCAGCCTCAGGCTGGACTCAGGCGTGGCAGTTTGTATAACCACCAGCAGCTGTTCCTTTGCTGGCTGGGCCTCAATCTTCATTGAAGGCAATGGAGGGAGAGAGATTAAGTAATGCTGCAGGCACAGCTGCATCTATTTTTTTTTCCCCTGTGGCATCGCCACTTTACCACTTGTTAAATGAATGGCCTCTGCTGATTCCTTTCCCCTTCTGTGAAGTACGAAAGCAAGCCAGACTTGGACTCTGCTCTTCACCCCAGAGCAAAACAAGCAGTCTAACTTCTTAACAGCCAACAAATTAAGCAAGGCAGTTAAATAAGGCCACAAATGAGTCTATTTTATCGGCTTGTGAGTTTTGGAGTATTGAAGCATACCAGGTTTTTCACCCACAAAAATCAATGTGTTGATCTCAAAGCACTCCACCTTTACTTGCTAAATGTCACATCAGGCCTGGGAGCGTATCTCCATCGTGCTGAAGAGAGCTTGGGGCACCAGGCAGCCAGTCTTGCCTGTAACCAGGGGCAGATACCACTGAGCTGTGGTTGGAGACGTGACTGAGTGCGCTGGATTTGACAGTGCTGAACGAGAAGCTACATGGGACCCGTGGCAGACTTGGGAATTCACCTAGTTTCACTCAGGAGGTCACATTCCCAGTTTCTTCTCCTTGCCTGCCCT